ATTTTAAGTTCATAATTAATTTTGACATATATAATAGGTGTTTGAATATATTTTTTTAAAACTTAATTTAAAGTTCATAATTGATTTTAACATATAATATGGGTGTTTGTTTATACACTGCCATAAAAAAACCCCATATTTGATGCTTATTTTTTTTAATACTTGATAGTTTTTAACTATTAGGTAAGGGTGTGACATATATTAAAGCAACCTTACTCGATGATTTTTAACTATCAATTATTTAGGTATTACTTGATAGTTATTTAAAAAAATCATCAAGTATACAAATAAAATTTTGCTTTTTTGAACAAATACTTAACGTTTGTTTTCAAATAAACATCAAATAAACGTCAACTTTTTATGGCCAAACCTTACCCTTTTGTGTACTTGATGGTTATTTAGTATGTATTAAAATATTTGATGCTTCTTTCTAAAAAACTATCAAATATTTTTTATTTTTTTTATTTATTATTTTTTTTAAATAAGCGTCAATTATAAAGCGTTAAGTATCCTCTTTTCTGTAGTAGTAATATTTTCACAAAACTATAATTTTACATTTTTTTTTCAATTATATTTTAATTTTACTTTTTAATTTTAATTACAATCAATCCTATTAATTAATTTTATAAATCAATTCTATAACACGTATTATAACCAATTATATTCAATTAAAATACAAACACATCCTAACACTCCCCCCCTCCCTGGTCGCACGTTCCAGTGTTCCCCCACAGTTCTGTTGATCCCACACACTTCACCAATCACCACCGCACCTCTCATGCTGTCGTTCTGCCCTTCTCCTCAACAACAATTACAGATCCTCTCCGCACTTCCAAATCATCCGTCTCTGAACTTCCAGTTATGCAATGGGCTGCTTCTCTGTTCCTCTAGCTTCCTCATGTCACTGGAAGAACGCATGTCGGTACCTAGGAATATATATGGACGTACTCCGACGTGGGTAGGTATCGACTTGAACATGTCTCCTCCGACATGGGTGAGTCTATTGTATTCAGGTGCCGCGGCCACCACATGAGGCAAATCAAATTTGATACACGCCATCCTTTTCAGTGAACAACTGAAAGAGAATAATGATGAGAAAAATAAGGTTCGAACTTTGAAGAGGTCGCCATTACTGTTTGAGGTGATGAACTTCAAAAAGCTTGACGCTAGCCCAATTTACAGAGAGAATGAAGGTGATGAAAGCGGTGAAGACAAATAAGGTGGTGTTTGGTGAGGAATTGGTAAGGAAGAAAGGGGGAGGAAGATGGGGAAGACAGATCTAGATGTAGATGACGATGTCCCACTAATGGACAACTTCCCTAGAGAGAGGAGGGAGGGAGAGAGAGAGAGGAACATGCAAATTGCAAGGAGTGGAGAAAGCAAAGACGCAGAGAGAGTTCTGGGCCCACTAACGGACGTTTAGTAAAAATTAATAGCCAAATTGTCGTGAATCTAATTGTTTAGAAGTTAAAAAAATACTAAAAATAAGTTTAAGATTCAAATTATTTTTGAATTTATAGTTTAAGAAATTATGGTACTTTTTTTTAAATTATATATATTAGTAGCAGGGTTGTGTCCACCAGACGAAGGAGTTAATCCCCTCAATATGACAAATCAAAGTTTAATTTTTTTTAAAATATTTAGTGTTAATTGTGTAAAAAAATAAAAATATTTTGAACAATATTTTTCTATATCCTTGTAATACATGTCAAATTTATTTTCAATTGTTGCACCAACATTATAATGAAATTATTTATTGTCCATTATAAATTACCAAAATAATCAAATATGTTACGCTAATTTTTTCTTAACATATATACCAATACAAGCTTGTATTATCAACTAAAATCACCAATCAATTATATATATATATATATATATAATACTTGAAACAACAACCACAAGACACATAAAATTACAAAATAATATAGTTATAATTTGGTTTTTGAAGAACTTTTTTTGAAAAATAAATAACCAATTCTTGATCGGTTTCTAACTTGTCTTTACCGGATTTGATTAGTTCTTGACCAATTCGTTTTTGGGCCGGTTAGGACATTGTTCCGGATCGGATCAGTCACCATAATTCCCAGTCAAACAGGTCCGGCGGCTCTGACAAGAGGACTTGAATTATATGTAGTCATTTTGCTTGTAGTATACCCATAGATATCATGGGTTCAAATTTCAGTATCCTTTTACCCACCTAATGATACACGCTGAGGATTAGAACATAGAGGTCAGTTTTTTGAAGAAAGCTGAATTTATATTAATAAGAGATTAATTTTTATTGATTTAGAAACAAGTCAAACGTTGACTGTTGAAACATTCAAACTTCGGAGGGTCGGATTTGATCAGCTCAAGAAATTCAAATTATGAGAAAGAGAATGGTGGTTGATCCATTGAACTTATTCAGTTGATGAAGTCAAAGCTAAGGGTTAGTTTTCATTATCGCATTAATTAGCTTCCGTTGAAATTGCAATAATATTGATTAATTTGACTCTCTATGTTTGGCCAAATGGAAGCAATGACCTTTTATTTTTTAACTCTATCTTGAACTAATCAAAACATGTATTCCATCTTTGTAAGTCTTTATTCTCACATCACACGTCGTCGTTCTTGAAATTTTTGCCCTAAGCTTTTTATTCAAGCTCAACCGTCAATTACTGTTTAGATCACAACGGGTTTGAGAATCGAATATGCCTCTCTTTTATTTTGGTTATTTAAAATAGAGCCTTACTTGTGACATAATGTTTAGTGTTTGCTTTTATGTTTATATGATTATCTTGCAAGAATAAATTTAAGTATTGTTGAACTTAATTCAAAATATATTTTTTAATTTTCTACATTCACATTTCACACCAAGTAGTTGGGCCTAATTGAGAATACTTTTTTATTTTTATTTTATGTTTATCTTGATTAATTATATTATTTTTATTCATATTAAATTTTATTATTTTTTCTTTGTTTTTATATATGTTAAATACATTTATCTTATTTTACCCTTCTTTTAATAGGAGCAGTGGACTTATTTGTAGTACTTAAGTCTTTAGAGGAGTAAACATTATCATACCAATTGTATTTTAGAAAAAGAAAATTCAATTTGCAACACAATTAAGAGTAACAGGGCTTGTTTGTTTCAGTTTGTTTTATAAAAAAAATCACTTATTTTTTGAAAAAATATTTTATATTTTTTGATATTTGGTTAAAATTTTGAAAATAATCAAAATCTGAAAAAATAAATTTTTTGATTATTTTAAGAAACTACTTAAAAATTATCCGATGCCATAGATGAAAGAGAATGTTTTAAAAAAGTGAGATATGAGGAGATATCATAAAATTTTAAAATAATTAAATAATAAATTATTTTTATAAAAAAATCAAAAAAGATATTATAAAATTTAAAAAAATTAAATAATAATTATTTTTTATTATTGTAACTAAATATAAAATAATATCTGTTTTTTATAAAATCTGTGTAAAATAAATCTATTTTTATAAAATCCTTAAATTATCTAAAAATTACTTATTTTTAAATTTTAAACAAATGGACATATAACCATTTTTCACAAGTTTTTGAGTTAACTATGTTTTTATACACATGAAATTGGAGGAAGCATAATTTTTTTAATTTCTAATCTTCATTTACATATTCTAATGAGTGACATTTTGCTATTAAGTCATGTTGTTTGTCAATATTCCTAGTTGAACAATATTGATGGGTATCAAAAAATTAATAAATTTACCAAGTTATCAGCATAGCTGTGTCAATTAAAAGGTAATATGAAAAGTTGTAAACTTTTTATATTTGACTAATTTTAATTAATTCTTTTAATCTCAGGAAAACACAGAAAAGAAGGCCTTGTAAAAGGATGCATGGGAGAGATAGTAGTTAATAAATGTACTAGCTAATTAACTATGGCCACTTAAGCAGGTCTTAACTATTTTTAATTGGGCTCTAATAATGCTTGAATCCGACTTAGAGATAGCATATGAAAAAAAATAGAAAAAACACTACTTTTGGTCTTTGCATTACTTAAGTTTTGGTATAGGTCCTTGTATTTTATTTTTAATATTCTAGGTCTTTATACTTTCCTCCATCTACAACATTAGTCCCTACATTTTTAAAGGAATGTTGATGTAACTCAAACGATGTTAGTAATGCTGACATGTCAATTAATACCATTAATTTTGTGCTTATGTGTCAAATTAATGTCGACATGGAATTTTTTAATAAGCAAAAATAAAAAAAATTACATTAGATGAAATAAAAAGGCTGATCTAGACTCTTTTAATGATTAGCAAAATGCATAAATTCCACGTAGGCTTTTTTTAAGAAAAAATTCTTATTAAAATTTTCATGTTAACATCAATTTGACATGTTAGCATGCAAAATTAATGTTCTTAATTGACATATTAGCATTGTTTGTACTTTATCAACGTCCTCTTGAAAATGTAGAGACTAATGTTGCAGATGAAGGAAAATGTAAAGATCTAGAATACCAAAAACAAAGTGTAGAAACCTATATTAAAACTTGAGCAAAGTGTAAAAATCAAAAATAGTGTTTTTCAAAACACACACACACCAGATAACTTTTGTCTTTATCGTTCATTACTTGATACTCAAGCACTTGGCTATAAGTTCAAATGCAAGTAGTCATTTTTTTTTTTGAGTCATGATGTCGAGGGTATAAATAAAGGGCGGTGCATGAACTCAAACTAGGCAGCTTAATTTGAATTTCTTCAATTTCTTGCCGCATAATTAGAGCTTTCAAGAGATGGCAAACCCAAATTACTATTACTGCCATGGCTGCCTTACAATGATCTCTTGTGTTATGTTGTTAATAGCTCAGATAGGAGCAGGCGATGACACAGGTTCGGTCCTGCTGGGAGGGAAGAAGTTGATAATTGGAGTTCCAAAGAAATCAGGCTTCACCCAGTTTGTGGATATCCAACTCAATTCTACGAATCAGATCGTGAAGATCAAGGGCTATTCCATTGACGTTTTCTATGCTTCAATAGCTTTCCTCGAGCGCTTTTATTACAATATTTCATTCCAGTTTAAGGCCTTCGTAGACAAAGATGGAAACAATGCTGGGGATTATGATGCACTCGTCTATCAGATTTTTGAAGGAAAGGTTAGACGCTATATGTATAAATAATCTATACCAATATGGCTTCGAATATATATAGTACTGTTCATATGATCAGGATCCTCTAATGAAATCGAGAGACAAGCACAAATTTTCATGTGAGTTCCACATATTTCGGCAGTAATACAATTTACAAGATCTGTTAATGTTTCAATTGTTCAAACGATATTCTTCCTTCTTGTTGCCTTAACCATGTAGGCCTTTTCTGTTTGTTCTTTTTTTTTTTCCTTTCTTCCCCGGGGTGGGGGGGTGTGGAGACTAACCTGATAAGATGTATCATCAGTCCGTCCCATGTTTCTCTCTCTCTCTTTCGTTACGAAGACCAGCTTTCTTGTGAGCCTCACATTCCCGGCAGCTCTATTCTAGAAAGACTCACCTGGATTAGAATATTTGATGGATAGCCCTTCATGTAATATCGGCCTCTAAGTGAAAAGTACTCTTTAGCATATAAGATCAAAAGGAAAGCAAATCCAAAAACTAACATGATGAATGGAATAGTTTCTTAAGCTTATAAACTTTGATTTTCTTATGACACTTTTCAATGTGGGACTTATGATATCTTTTTCCCCAAAATCCAACTCAAGCAAGTGAGGATACATAGATAGCTGGTCCCCGTTGACTTGGTCCGACGGAAATATCCGCGAGACGATTGTCCGCAGCTGCTGGCGGAATCTACTGAACAAATATTTTTCATTGAATAAATTTTAAAAAAAAGGGAAAGAATTGGACTTGATTTAATATTTTATTCTCGTGTGACACGTTCTTTTATTCTATATATAGCATTAGTCAATACATTCAGAATGGCTGATGTGAACCACGTGATTTATATTCTTAACTCCAACTTGCTTTGTTTGTTTTACCTTATTGCCCTTGTATATTTTCTAGAGTTGCCTTTTTCTCCACCAACATGATCTACCGAAAGAACTGATGATCAAGACTTGCAGAATAAACAGCATATTCATGTCTTGAATTTATTTTTCATTCTATTTTGGAGCCATAACAAACAATTGATACATGCAAAACTAAATTGAAAATCTGACCTTTTTTAATTTTTCATGAACAGTATGATGCAGTGGTGCCAGATGTGACAATCATAACAAATCAGTTGAACTATGTAGATTTTACATTGCCATATGCACCGTCAGATATAAAAATGCTTGTGAAGGTTCGGCGTGATCCACGCTTGGATATGTGGATCTTTATACGACCTTTTAGCTAGGATCTGTGGCTGTCTATTGTCATTGCCAGTATTTCTACAGGAGGTATCATATTATTCATGGAACGTCCTGTCAAGGAAGATTCAGCACTTGAGAATTTAGCATGTAGGACCTAACTTGGTAGGATTTCTATCTTGTGGCTTCCTGTAGTGCAAGCAGTTCTTCCTGAAAGTGAGTCTCTTTAAACTTTGATTTACCTCTCCATGTTATTCCTTCACGATAGCATTAGCTTATAAAATGACCTTAAAATTTATCTTTTTTCTTTCGTACAGTTGAATTTATATTTGCTGAGAAATAAATTTAAAGATATCAATTAAAGTTGATGTAAGTGATAAATGTTTTTCATTGTCACTTAGATAAGTGGTTAGGGATTCAAATTCTAACCTTTAATTTTTATATGTAGCAACTTAGTTAAAAGAGATCTATCTTTTGTTTTTAATACTTTAAGAGAGATGATCTCTATTGTTGATGGAGCATACTTATTATGCAATAAAAAAAAAGGAAAGAAATAGTTTTACGAGTAAAATTCATTAGCTTCTCTTCAATTCCACCAGAATTATAGACATCCTCTTTTTTTTTTTTTTAACTAGAGGGGCAAGCACCAATGGGCAGAAAAAGCTTACAAGTCACTAGATTACATGGCCATTGGTGACATCCCATTGTTTTCAAAACATTTTTTTAACCAAAAAAAGGGTTTAGTTTAGCAAAAGAGTCTAGTAACTCATAACATAGTGAACTAAAGTTCAAATTCCTAATGTAGAGATGCTCATATTTAATATTTAATTGTATCTCCAACAAAATGTCTTCCAATAAGAAGACACCTATTCTTTAATCTAATTTTTAAGTCCCTTTAGAAATTCAATGAGAAATGGTTTCAGTTGTTCTAAATTTGAATTTCTGGTACTATTTGCAGGGGAATCATTGGCCAAGAGTTGTTCTAGGTTTGTGCTGGTGATGTGGTTGATACTAACATTTATATTAATGCAAAGTTACACAGCATGCTTGTCATCAATCATGGTAGTACATCAATTGCAACCTAGTTACCCAAGTGAGTATGACGTTAGAATGGACCCCAAAATCAAAGTTGGATACCACCGTGACTCATTTGTTGGCAGCTTATTGGTAGATCGCTTGAAGTACGATAGGTTGAGAGTGAAGAACTACCCTGACATGGAAGAATATAAGGAGGCTCTAGACAAAGGAAGCAATAAAGGTGGTGTTGATGCTATTTTTGATCATGTTTCCCACATCAAGATCTTCCTCAATCAATATGGATCCAAGTATGTCATGGTTGAAACTGGACTTCGCACAGATGGATTTGCTTTTGTGAGTTTCCATCTCTATTCCCTTATCAAACATAGATTCCTTATTTATCCAAATTAAATCTAGCCAAGAGTCCATACCTACATTAGTGCACAATACTATATTTCACAACATAGTTAAATTTGTATTTTCGTAACATTAAATGAAATGTATCAGTAATAAATAATTTTCACGATGAATGAAGATAGAGCTGTAGCGATAATTGGGAAATTATGAACTAACGTCATAATGGGGTGCCCAGATATATATTATGGCATCTGTTTTTGTCATACCATCCAATAGCCATAATTTCCAATTATGGCATCAGGTATGGCAATAATAACAGATATCATGATTATATTTAAAAAAATATTTTTTTATAATTCATTCCTTATTTACAACCCTGCAATTATAAATAAACTAGTATAGTAAATCCATAGGCTAGTGTAGAATTTTCTTTGAAAATATACAAATATATGATTAAAACAACTATACATACATATATCCTTGCCATTTCAATTTCAGGAAAAATATGCTAACTAAATGTTGTGTAGATATCTTAGATCTTGAGAACATGACTCTAAAGTGTTGAAATGCTGTAATTTTTTCTTGAAAAAATTATAATATATATATATATATATATATATTCGTCTTTGATTTCTATAGTAGTTGTAGATAATTTGATTAAACTATTTTTAACTTTTCTGTTTAAATAATAATTTTCATAACTTTTCAGGCATTCCCCAAAGGTTCCAATTTGACATCGTACTTTTCTAGAGCCATATTAAATGTGAGAGAGAGTGAAGAAATGGACAAGATTGAGGAGAAATATTTTGGAAGTAGCGATGACAATGAAGACCAAGGCCTATCTAATTCATCGTCAAACGAAGTGAGTTCCAGCCTCACCACTTATAGTTTTGCAGGTTTGTTCATTGTAATTGTAATTCTTTCGCTGTTAGCTTTGCTAGTCTCTGAAAGTCACCTTTGGCAAAAACCTGTTATGCTTGCAAAAACGTATAGTCGACAATTTTTGTGTAGAAGTTTTTCAAGAACGAGTCTAGTAGAAGGTTCAACAACAAAAGAAAATGTTGATGAAAAAGGTTTTACAACCAGCTGAGAAAATAATCAAATTATAATGGATTGGAAGATAGAGCTGTCATAACCACATGGAGAAATCTCAAGGACATATCTTGCAAGAATAAATGTTGAAACATTGCTCGTGTAAGCAAGCATATGGTGAATATGGCACATTATCTCCAAATATTATCTCCAAAGTTTCAAGTCAATCAGTTAATCTATAGAAAAACACATTATTCATAACTCATGAGTAGTATAATTTGTCTCAAACGGTAAATCAAGCATAGGCTTACAACTCAGTTATGTTGTAAAATGTCACGTATTCAAGTTTGTGTTTCGGAGCTTTGGTGAAAATCTTGAATGATTCTTTCTTTTATTTTTGTTTAAGTTATTTAACTTTTTTTTTCCCCTCTATTGAGAACAATAACAGAGAGAAAGCAAATAAGCAATAGAAAAGAGCGCTTTAAATATAGGAGGAGGAGGAGGAATTGGATAAAATAATAGATCGTTATTTTAGTTCTGCAACTTCATCACTTCTATTAAAATTAGAGAGAATTACGTTTAATTGCCAAAATGGTAGGTTATTTTAAAATTTCAACAAGCATAAGATAAATATGATGTCATATATGACTCATATCCAAACCAAATTGTTATTTAAAAAATAAATAAAATAATTAAAATGAATAATAACTGAATTTCTAACAGTTAAACAACTACAGTCATGATCCTAACTTCAAAGTTTTCTTCAACGGCACCACTTAATGAACCTCCCTAAAGTCACGATCCTAACTTTCAAAGTTTTCTTTTCCAGTGCCTGTAATTCATCAATTACATGTAATTAATTTACATACATACATCCATACATATACATGAGTCGTAGCATGAAGCAATGAATTACTCTCCACTAATCATATACGATTGGAAAGGCTCCCTCTTGATTTCTACGAAGGTAGAGAATTCACTTGTCAAAGGCTGTTTCCAGGGTTCTCCATCCATTTGCATATAAGCATCTCTCCACTTCCCACCTCTTATTTCCAATCGAATTGCAGCTGCCTGAAACATACACAACCATCCAACTTCACTTACACTTGCAATACCTACCTAGTGAACCTGTCAGACCAGTATGATCCTGATTTTTGCCCATTCTTGACTATATGTATATATATACTTTGATATAGTACCTGAGCTATGTGCTTTGCAGAGATTAGTTCAACCATTACAAATGATGCATGCCATCCTTGCTTAAGACCAAATATTTCCAGAAGCCCATCATCCACATTGGCTTCAACAAAGCCTCTCTGTAAGTACATCCCAAGCCATTCAGGTTTTCTTGTATCACACAATTTACAATACAGAGTAGCATAGTCAAACATAACACCAAGAAAATAAAAGGCAAGAATAAACATAGTCCAAAAAGTAAGGCTTAGGGAGCGTGCAGAGATGTGTGAAACAGGCAACAGCATATTTGTTGTATTCAAGCAATCTCCAAGAAAAATTTTCTCATATCCAATGACGAGAATTTATCCCTCATTTTCCCTTCATTTTTGTTGGAGGTATGGCAGGAGTTAGAAAAGCATAAACTGGCAAGCTTGTGATATTGTTTATATTTTCATTGATGAGGGAAAAAAAATGCTCAAGCAGTCTGCAGCAACCCAAAGGGAGCCCAGACAGATAATGAATGCCTTCATATCATCACAGCGACAAGGTATGATCTCAGGTAACAGGAATGCCATACCCTTTCCAGATACTCTGGTTTCAGATTACCCCAGGGATTTCGTCCACTTCCATAGCTATGAAGATTCAGAGCAACTACTGCCCTTACACTGAAAGAAAATATCATAACTTTGTCATGTACAATAAGATAGACAGAAGAGGAAGCATAAAATAAGACTGAAACCACATCACATTTACGAAGGGCAAAGGAATTTAATGTAATAGAATCGTATAGACTAAAAGAGTAAATCCAATCTCCCACCAAATAAGAAATATAAAGTCACCAGCAACTGGACTGAGGTAGAAGTAAAGATGTCTTCTTATAAAAACATTGCTTGTTCACCAGTGTATAATATGCATCAGAAAAATTATATGTTGTGAAATATACCTGGAAGGAACTGGTATCTGCTCCCACTCTAAAGAGTTGAACTTTTTGACATGCATCCGCAAAATGTTTTTAAGCCCCCTGCAACCAGAAAGGTTTATAAAGATTTAAGCACAATAAATAATAAAGGTATTGAATAAACCAGGCACTATCCTCCATTACCCGAAGTCCATCGAGCATGATGTTTTCTCGAAATTATGGGAAATGATCCATTAAACCACTCCTCTTAGGAGACACATATATTGGTGATTTATTAGAAGATTACCTTAGACTCGGATCACTTGTGCAAGATGTTAAGAACCAGCCCTGAGTGCAACTGTAACCAGAGTAGATAATCTGGGGTTAAAAAAAACAGAGAGATTAGGTCATGATCCTGTATTAGCATATCTTTAGGAGCCATGAATATTTCACAGCTGTTAATGTTGATACTGCACAATGCAAATAAGACCTGTTTCGAGGAACAGATAGAGAAATTTAATACCTTATTTGTCATAGGACCGTTTGCAAGGTAAGGCTTTTCGTTACGCAGAGTATGGAAGCCATGAGCTACTTGGGCGTCCATTCCTGTAAAATTAATGAAGAAAACTCTAAGATTGCACACAAATTAATACTAGATATTTATGGAGGTATTTGAAGTCTAACACATGCATAATATGTAAAAAAAAAAAATCGTTCTTAACTACTCTGGTGAACAGAAATAGCAGGCAGGGATTAATTTGGCGTTAATGTAACATTCAGTTGAGTTGAAAAGTAGGATATTCCCTTGTATAGTGACATCAGTCGCAGGAAATTCCTAACCACGTAACCAAGACACTAGGTGTGGACATTATGCAAGCTCACACCAAAATTCGCAAGCACCAGCATGTCTAAGTCTCTACTATTGCAGAGGTCAAATTACCTATACTGAAGTAATTGTAGAACACTCCTTCGTAGCAAGTAACTTCCTCAGGAAGATCTCCTTCAACTTCTAAACCCTGCAAACGAATGAGACTACTTATGAGGTATATCTATTTCAAATTCCAATGCATTATTTAAACAGAATTTAAATGAACAAATATCTTGTAGTAAAGAAATATTCAAATGGATGGGTTTGGTTTGCTCTTTTGAGCTAATGTTATTGTTTTGAAATTTTCTTTTCATTTTCAAGAGAATTATCGGCCTTCATTTTCATACATACTTTTTTTCTTAATAAATTTCTCCCTCGAATCATAAGGAATCAGTCAACAATTTCATGCACAATTAAACTAGTAGTCTAAGATCTTGCGCCACCACATTTGAAGAAAAATATTCAATACTGACCCAAGAACACTATGCACAAGGCAACATTATCAAATCAATCAAAAACCTAGATAATTCATAAGGCATGACAATGAGGAAAAAAGCAGCGGTTGGTGGAAGAGAAAAATTCAGGGCACGCATTTGCACTAAGCATAGTCTAGCTCCTATTCGCCACAAATGAAAGAAAATGCCATAGGGGGAATTCTGTGCTGCATAAATCTAATAATAATTAGTTGGCAGCAAACTAATAGTGCAGCTATATGATGTGAGAAACCAAACCCACAACCTCATCCAGAGAGAACTCTTCTGTGCGCTTCAGAGAATGGGGTGCTTCCACAATTGTGCCCTCTGGCATTGAAAGTAAGATCTTCCAACTGCATGAAATCCAAACCAATGAACAAATATATTCATATCGAACATACCCTGCATATTAGCTTAGAGAACCTAAAGAAGAATATATATACATGAGAAATAGCTCAACACATTTGTGAATAAGAGAATCCGTGCAGACAAATATGATTCAAGATGCATTTATATTTTATTCACACCTCAATACCTCACGCTTTCAATGAACTATTGATGAGCATGTAACATGTTGAAAATCCCAAGTCTTCATTGTGTTTTATTTGTTGTCTGATCCAAGTTGAGGATTGTCAGCTGCACTTTTCCTTATTTAAAATCTAGGATTTTGTATTTATACTGACTTTGTCATAATATATTTTCTAGAGCTGAATGGCAAACTTGTTGCCATTTGCTTCCAATTTTCCCTCCAACCATGAATGAAACGAGAACTTTCATACTCATGATTTCCGAAAACCTTCATGAGATCAAAGCAAAGTCAACCCAGAGGGGACTGTGTGCCCAAAAATGGACGTGGAAAAACTAGTTGTGAGATTCTGATTTGGAAAACTATTTAGGCATCAAAAGCTTTTATTTAAAAAAATTTTATCTAGCGAAATTAATATATCGATAGAGCAATGTGTAGTGATAATTTAAAACAAATCACACTATCAAATCATGGTTCATCATAAAGAGATGTACAAAAGAAGCACTACCAATTATTTTAAGAAGAATATAACTCGGAAATTTTTGTGATGGTGTGCAAAACAACCAACTCCATTCTTACCACTACAAACATTAATTGCCAAGTATAATTTAAACGAGTTTAAAGGTAGGGGTGAAAATCAAGATGACCTAAAATCAAGCATTATCATTGCCTCCCGGCTATGACCTATGAAACAACGTAAATCCCACTGATTCATGCCTCTGAGCAACTTAATTGAAGTTCACAAGAAGAACATATTATAGGGATAAAATGTTACCTATCCAGACGACAGATTCGACCTGTACTAGCCTTCAAAAGACTTCTATTAATAGCGGCCTTCCAGGAAAAAGGAAACGAACCTCCCTGATATTAAATCAAAGCCACAGATTAGTAAAATAAGATACGCATCTAACCCATACATCAATGCACATAAATACTTACCCAGCTAAAACTCCTAGATAGATCATTGCCCGTGCCAAGTGGTATAATTCCTACAGGAGGAACTGGCTCCCGACCTTTCTTGTAAAGATCTGTGAGACATCCTAATACCCAGCCAACTGTACCATCACCCCCAGCAACCTGTCAGCCAATATCATCCCATCTCAAAGCTGTTATAGTAAAATCCGAACTCAGAATGTACTATGGGCATTTGGCATTTAAATTCTGAATGTGATTATTCATTTTCTGTTGCACTAGTCGACATACCATAATCCTCATTCTTTCACGAACTTCTTTGGCGCAAGAATCACCAAGACTTACCAACAACTCCAGGCAACCCAATCCATACTCCAGAAATTCATTAGGCTTCACGTCAGATAGATCAAAAACCTAAAGTACAACTTAATGTTAATCATGAGGAGGGATAATTAAAGGTGCTAATTTTAATTAAGAACAGGGTCTTAGCATAGACAACTCGCTCGAGCTTGAGAAATAACTTGTGAGGCGGAGCGCGCCCACTGCCTCTTATTATATGAATATATCCTCACTATGAATTAATACATGAATCTGTTCATAGTAATATATTATTTATGAGAAAAATGCTATTTTGATACTGATTAATAAATTTTTAAATTTTTTATTTCAGCCATTATATATCTTGGGTTTTCGTGCATTGCATGGAGCATGACACTAGAAGTTGCAGTATCTGCACGGTGCAGTATCGACATAGCTTCCAATAATACGCGCGCGGCGCGCGCGCATATATTATTAAAAAAATTCCTTGACTCAAAAATAACATCACTTATAGATTTGACACTTTTAATTCACCTCCTGTGTTTGGCATAATTGATTAGTATTTTAAATTTGGTGCAATCTTTTTGATGAAAAGAAAAAATGACATGGCAAAATTAAAAGTATCTTAATGATTAATTGATTATTTTATTTCAAAGAAAAAAAAATCTATAAAGAGCTTTTTTCGCCAACATAATCTACAAGATATTAAAGTATACCTACATAATAGGTTTTTCCTCTTTATTTTTCTCATTTCTTTCGTTGATGTTTGCTGTTTGCCGGCGTCTATGAATATCCCAACCCGAGCACCAAATTCAACCCAAAAATGTTAAAAGCAGATGACCCTTGACAAATTAAAGCTAAGCTAATCATATAGGCGCATTCTTACTCTCACCCACAAAAGAAATTTGAGTAATAAAGAATAATACTGCAAATAGGATGACCTGTTCTTCACTCATTAGATGTTTCAGCCTTTCCTTAAGAACAGGGCCGTGACGGCCACCGCTGCGGGTATTAATGAATACTACCATGGGCGTCTCCGGAAGGAGAATACCTTCTTCTTGCTTGCCGTTAATGTGACGGCTCATTGCGGTTGGATCCTGGAAACGTATACAATCGCGCATTGCGTGCCGAAGATACTGCGGCATCGTAAGCTTCCTCCTCAACTCCTCCTTGTCAATCCGGCCCCCAGAGAGCACACAGGTCCGAAACGTCTCCATCATCGACGGCGACATCAACGCTCCCTTGTTATTAGCCACCGTAGCCAGCGAGTTATCCGTCGGCTCCGGGGAAGGAACCGTAGGCGAACTTAACGCTTCCTCATCGACCGCCGGAGGCGGTGAGTCGACTCTCTCCAGAGAAACATTCGTCTCACTCATGGTCGTCGATAAATCAGGCTGTTTTCAACCGCAAATCGATTCCAAATCTGCATAAATACTGGTCTCACTATATAACTTCATTCAAAATAATTGGTAAGAATGAATGTAATAAAAAATCTAAAATGAAAAATGATTCTCTTTCTCTCACTAAATCTTTGAGAGAGGACAGAGAGAGATGTGGTTGTTTATTTGCAAGTTTATAGGCGTGAAAATGGCATGGGATTGGTAATATTCATAGGCAACGAAAAAATTGAGATCACTGTCAACGAACGCCCGTGGGTTACCGTCCCATTGTATGGTTCCTTGCAAAAAATACTCAGTCTCTATCTGTGGTATTTAAGGTTAAAAATAAAAAAAATCAAATCAGACCCGTAAAATGGACAACTGAGAAATGAGAATATCAATAAATTGACTAAAAAATTTTAAAAATTAGTCAGAGCTTCAGGGGAGAGTCAATAATTTTATTTTATACGATATTTTTTAAAACAAAATAAATAATATATTAATTTGATTATAATCAATTCAACTTTTTGTAATCATTTTATTTATATGGAGAAAATTAATCATATTATTTGTGTTTTCCCTCCAACACGTAACTCATTATTAATAATTAAGCATTATTAATCAACTCATGAGTAGAGAGATCGAGCGAGATGCAAGCCCGAATGCTTCGCTGCAGCAGGAACAGTTCGAAGCAGAACCATTTTCGTTGGTTGCGTTTCTGTCTCTTCTGTTGAAGGAGGTACTGTTTCTCATACGGATTGCAAATCCATTTTCCCTTTCTTAAATTCTCGGTATTCTGCTTGTCTGGGTTCATATTTAAGTTCAGAGTGAACTCTTGTGGCCAAAAGTAGATAATCAAATAAAGTGATTTAGTCAATGCACAGCACATGAGCAATTGTGCTCCCAGATTATTGAGTTTGAGCATCGGAAAAAACTGTCTCTCTCTCGAGTTTCTCTCTAGGCGGTGGGACTTGGGTTTCGTCTCGGGCGATCAAGTGTTGCGGCGCCTCCCTCTGCGGCTTCCGCCGAGTGTGGAGGCGTCCGTGTGGTGTCTCTGGTCTGCTGTCTGTTTTGTTTCTTTTCGTTTTTCGGCAGTTTTCTGCTTGTTTTGCCTTTCATCGGTGCGGTTCTTATCAGATCTAAGGGGTTTTCTCTCTGCTTGGTGGTGTTTTTAATGGGTGGTTGGACAGATCTGGACCTTGGCACTTTGATTCGCGTTTTTGGGGCTTGGAGAGCTTCGGCCATCTCTGCTCTTTTTCACTCTGCATTTCTTTTGGCTTTGGCTGGCTCTTTGTGGTGGCGGCGAATCTGGAGCGCTGGTGAAGGGACTTTTGCAATTCATCAGGCATGGCTTTTTGGTTCGTGGTCGCCGATTCGTCTTCTTCCTCTTCTTGTTTTCGCCTGGTTCGCTGGTACCCATGCTTGTTTTGCTGCTATGGGGTCCTCTTATAGCTCTTCCTTTACAACCTTTGTGGTTGCATCTTTGCCGTTAAAAGGAGTGGCTCCACCCCTTATGGCCCCGTCGCCTTTGGCTTTTTCTTTCTTGTAGGTTCTCGTGAACAGGCGGCGGCTGAGGCGGCAGCTGCACGAAAGCTCCCCTTTGTTCTCTTGGTTAGGGTTAGGGTTAGGGTTGGGTTTTTCTGTGTGGGCTTGTTTATTTGGGCCCATGTTCTGTTTAGCTTTGTTGTTTTGTCCTCTCTGTTTAGTTGTTATTTGTCTTCTCCGGTCAAAAAAGATTATTAAGTTTGAGCTGGAGGCTTCATTTTTTATTTTTATCTCAGTTTTGATTCTTTCTGGTGATTACAATTTGGGGATATGCTATTGCTGACTTGCCATTGGGTTTCATAGTGCAGTGTGAATTCTTTCTGGGTTCGTACTTAAGTTCAGTGTGACTTCTTCTGTCCGAGAAAATGTTTTTTTTTTTTTTGTCTGAAAGACAATGTCATCAAATAAAGTGATTTAGTCAATGCAGATGAGCAATTTCCCTCCCAGATCGTAGGGTTTGAGTTGCATAGTTCTTTTCTATTTTCTATTTTCTCTTGTTTATTTTTCATGATGTACATAATGGGTAGTCTTTGGTTCAATTATATGAATTTTTTATAGTTGATGGTTCATGAGAACGTTGACAATATGGGTAGTCTTTGGTTCAATTATATGAATTTTTTGAAGTTGATGGTCCATGAGAACATTGACAATCCTTAAAGTTAGGTATTGGAATCTCTAGAGGTGCCACAGTGTTTGAACTTTGATGCAGAGCTTCTAACCGTAGAATATTTTAATTTAAAAATACTTCTTTATTTTGAAAATGATCCTCATGAATCTGAGTATTTCTGTTATTTTCCACTTATCAGCTATAATCTTGAAGCCAAAGTTCCAGGACGTTGCCTGAACAGCTCAAAAAGATTCGGAAATCCATAATTTAGGCATGGCAAATATTTGTTACATAGAGCAGCCACTGGTGGAGGAACTTACTTTTACTGAAGCTCCATTCAAGAGTTGCCATGCTTCTACCATTGTTGAGGTCACGGAATTGCCCCAAAAAAAAAAAAAAAACACTAGCGAGTAGCATTTTTCTCGAACAAATTATGGCATTTTGTGGGCAAATGAATTGAATTATATCATGTTTGATTTTGCAGGTTGAGAAGGATCATTTCTTGGTTGCCTATTTTGGGGGCACGTCAGAGGGGGCACCTGATGTCAAAATATGGTTGCAGACTTACAAAGTAATTATGAATGAATCTTCTTCTATCGTTGCTTTTTGATTATGCCTTTACTTGAGTCATAAGCTAGCATCACCAAGCTCGGCAAGCTTCTGTCTTTAAATTCATAGAAACTGATTATTCCAATGCAACCATACTAATTCAGGTTTCTTATTTGTTATTCTTCTAATAAAACATAAAACTTTCTCTTTCTTTCTTATAAATGAAAACTTCAGGAAATTCATGGATCCTCAACTTTATATGATTCATTCCCCATGTTTTTGTCATATTCTACTATAAGAATTGCATTGCTCAATCATCTATCTGCTTTGCAAGCAGAGTCAGCATGATATAGGGAGGTTAAAACTGAATGGTCAGCCATTGAATTAATCTTCATTTTATTAAGGATGAAGAGGGACGAATTTTAGTTACAGATGATGAAATTAAAAATAGATGGGAGACTTACTTTTTTAAACTTTTCAATGATGGAGAGGATTCATCTAGTAACTTGAAGGATTTAGTAACTGGTGAAGGAGAACAAAATTTGTCATTCTATCGAATAATACGTGATAAGGAGGTAAAGGAAGCTCTTAAGAAAATGGCAAATGGTAGAGCCAACAGACTTGATTGTATATCTATCGAAGCGTGGAAATGTTTAGGTGAAGAAGGGGTGAGATGGTTAACTAAGTTATTTAATGTGATTTTACGGTTCAAGAACATGCCTGATGAGTGAAGGAGAAGTACATTAATTCCTATTTATAAAAATAAAGGAGATATTCAGAATTGTACTAATTATAGAGGGATTAAACTCATGAGCCACACAATGAAATTGTGGGAGAAAGTAATTGAGCACAGGTTGAGATTGGAGACAAGTATTTTTGAGAATCAATTTGGTTTTAGATCAACTACAGAGGCGATTTATCTACTAAGGGGATTAATGGAAAAGTATTGTTGTAAAGATAAAGATCTACACATGATTTTTATTGATTTGGAAAAAGCTTATAACCGTATACCAAGAGAAGTGCTTTGGAAAGCGTTGGAAAAAAAAAGAGTACGGATTGCTTATATTAAAGCCATACAGGATATGTATGAGGGGGTAAAAACTAGTATAAGAACACCTAGTGGTCAAACAAAGGATTTTCCTATAAAGATTGGACTACATCATGGATCATCTCTGAGTCCTTATTTGTTCAACTTGATTTTAAATGTTTTGACGGAACATATTCAAGAGGAAATCCCGAAATGTATGCTCTTCGCGGATGATATAGTTCTTATAGCAGAGACAAGAGAAGAGGTTAATTGCAAACTTGAGTGATGGAGGAAGACATTGGAATCGAAAGGTTTTCGTCTGAGTAGAAGTAAGACGAAATATTTATATTGTAAATTTGGTAAAGGATTATTCGACAATAATTTGAAAGTGAAATTGGGAGATCAAATTATACCTCAAGTGGAAAAGTTTAGATATTTGGGAGCCATTATTCAAAATGATGGCGAAATCAGTGGAGATATTTCCCATAGAATTCAAGTTGGGTGGTTTAATTGGAGAAAAGCTAAAGGAGTTATTTGTGACCGTAAGGTGCCTAATAAACTTAAAGGAAAGTTTTATCGCACTGCTATCAGACCGGCAATGTTATATAATAGTGAATGTTGGGCTCTAACGGGACAGCAAGAGCATAAAGTTGGAGTAGCAGAGATGAGAATGTTACGATGGATGTGCGGACATACACGTAAAGATAAAATTCAAAATGAGCACGTACGCGAAAAAGTAAGGGTGGCACCTATTGAGGAAAAAATGGTAGAAAATCGGTTGAGATGGTTTGGGCATGTACAAAGAAGACCAAGGGAGGCACCAGTGAGAAGAGTGGAACATATAACTTTGAGTCCGATTAAGAGAGGTAGAGGAAGGCCTAAAAGAACATTCTTGAAAGTTGTTGAACGCGATCTCTTAATTAATAATATTCCTAAAAGCTTGATAAACGATAGGGCACAATGGCGTCTTGCAATCCATATAGCCGACCCCACTTAGTGGGATAAAGGCTTGTTGTTGTTGTTACAAGTAAATTCTATGTTCTTTGTTGTCTGTTTTGCAGAGACCGAAGACATCTTGATTTCAAAAGCAGTCATATTCCTGCTTCCTCTGTCTGCCAATGGACCTTTTAGAGAAGGAAACTGCTTATCATAAATTTTTTATTAGATCATTCTGAATGCAATTTTGTTGGGCAGAATGGCAGATGGCATCCACCTGTAATTGCAGATGAACAATCAAATGTTCCTATGTGGAACCCTGTGCTGTTCAAGCTCCCATCAGATGAGATACTGCTATTCTACAAAATAGGCCAAGATGTTCAAAAGTAAATTTCTATCCTTTATGGTCTTGTCAGATCATTCCCCCCCCCCTTCTGTTTAAGCAGTCATTGGGGCCATTACTCCACAGTGGACATTTTATATTTGTCAAACTTCATGATTAAAATCATTTCTAAGCGTGACAGATAGAATGAAACACTTAAAAAATAAAACCAATAATACTTGAGGACTGTGTATTAAATTGTGACTCAATGTAAAAGACACTCACATGAATCAGCTGAAATAAAACCAAGAATTCTAGCTTCTAGGTCTACCAAAGGAAACATCAATCAGTTGTAATACCGTTATGTGTAACTACGTAGAAGTTCTTCCATTTTAAGTTTGCTACTTATTCCCTTTCGTGCATATGATGGACTGAATGGGCTTATTTAATTTCAGATGGAGTGGATTTATGAAAAGGTCGCATGATAAAGGCATCACCTGGACAGAAAGAGAACAACTTCCTCCTGGCATATTGGGACCAATAAAGAACAAAGTAAAACTGAAGCTTTTTTTTTTTTATTTTGGTCAAAAAACTGAAGCTATTTTATTGTAACGTATGTTTTGAATTCATATGCATAACAATTTACTTGGCATGTTCTGAATTCCTATTATTGTTATTATTACTCAGCCCATTTTGCTGGACAATGGCCATTTACTTTGTGGATCATCTGTTGAGAGCTGGAACTCCTGGGGTGCATGGGTGGAGGTTTTAACTTCTGACCAAGCACATCTTAGTTGAGCTGCTGAATGAAAGATTTTTTAAAAATCAACCAGCTGACATTTTATTATTCTTGTATAAAACAGGTCACAACAAATTTTGGTCAGTCATGGACGAAGTATGGCCCAATTTACATTGAAAATAATCCCCTCAGTGTAATTCAACCAGTGCCTTATCGGACTTCAAATGGGGCAATACGGGTTTTACTACGATCCTTTGAGGGCATTGGTAGAGTGTGCATGTCAGAATCTTCTGATGGTGGCAAGACTTGGGGATATGCAAAACCTACTAAGCTCCCAAACCCGAATTCAGGTCAATTTCTTAATCTATTTAGTATGCATTCTTTATCTACTTTTGAAGTTCAATACTTCTTGATCTTTGTCAAACCCTAATGATCTAGTGGCTTATCTCTCATTTGTTTTTCTAGGTATTGACGGTGTTAAGCTGCGAGATGGGCGTTTATTGCTTGCTTACAATACAATTTCAAGGGGGGTACTGAAGGTTGCCCTATCCGATGACGATGGCGATTCTTGGCAGGAAGCTCTTACATTGGAGAATAACTTGGGAATGGGATTCTCATATCCTGCTGTTATCCAGGATAGCGATGGACTTGTCCATATCACCTATACATATAATAGGACACAAATTAAGGTACATATCGCCTTCTAATTTGAGTTATATATAGATGTGCCAATTTTAATACCCAACTCCACACAGAGACTCACCTTCATTTTTATTGTTGACAGCATGTTGTTCTTGAGCTGAAGTGACGTTTATCCCGAATGTAGACCTGATTGATGATGGTCGAACTGTGGGCTTGAATTTTTAAAAAGATCTTAGCTTGAAGCCTGACAAATTCCCGTTGAATAATCTGACATTTGGTCGATGATCGGGCCTCTTTATTGTGTATATCTCTACACGTGGCTTTTCCTAACAGCAAGTTCAGATTTAAACGTAGAACGCCTGTAAAGTCCAGTTTGATATTAAGAAAGCAACAATTAAAGCAGCGACTCCATCTCAATAAATGCTTTTTAAAATATATATATATATATATATATGTTGAGTATTTATATATATGTTGAGTCTTTACTTCAAAGTCAATTGAGAGCCAGATAAATGCATCAAATACAAACATTTGCAAAAATTGAAGGCGACCATTAGCTTGTGTAGTTCGTACGCGTCAGTTCACCCCATGACCAAAAAAAATTTAAGGTCCACAGCTTGGAACGGTAACAAAAAAAAAGAAAAAAAAAAAAAAACCGTCGTATGTTATGTTAGAATATAATGATAATTATGTATTTTGTATGGAATATTTTAGTTGTACAGGCTGTATTATACTCACATTGGACGTGGAGGGTTAGAAAAATAAAATTTTTACTTAAATGTTAATTAAAATTACACTTGCCCCTTTTAGAATTACAACTACTTTTTATGGGAGAGGATGACAAGTAAGAATTTTATAAGAAGATTAATACCAAATTAATATTTTTTAAAGATTTTAATATTGAAACATAGAAAAAAAAGTATTAAATTTAAAACTTTTAATTATGTAGAGATTCTAACTTGACATCAATTCTTTTGTGAGGTCTTTATTTATCATTCTCCCAAAAATTTAGTACCCAACATTCTCTTTAAAATTATTAAGCATTAATTAATATTTAGAATTATATTTTTTGTCAAAAATATTAATGTTTTTATTTAGTATAAATTTCTTCAAAAGAACTATTTCCCTCCCGACGAGCACACAGTTTGGAGATCAGTGGAAAGTGGCGCACAATGACCGCTCTGCTGTCTTCCTCTTTCCATTTGCTGTTTTTGATCTCTATTATCATCGACAGGACCTACTCATTCTCATGGTTTGTACTCTTCTTAGCTCTTTCGCAATCCCCATTTACTACTTTATTCTTTCGTGTTTCTGATGTTGGTAATGGTGGGATCTGTTTATTTTGAAACAATATCCGCAATGCCTCACTCATTGAGCTTCTTTTATAGTATACTATATTGTATGCTGTATGTCTAATTCTACAGGGTGTTCTTTAAGTTCTTTACTTTTCCTTTTATTATTATGAGCTAAAATTCAGAAGCAAATTTGGCAGGGAAAAATCTACAGCTTCTGAAGCACTTGGCTTGAATGGACTAGTGGTGGAGGAATTCACCTCTCCTGCAAATTCAGCTCCTTTCAACAGTTGTCATGCTTCTACCATAGTTGAGGTAATAAAATACAGAGAAAGGTTGCTCCGTTTTTTTTTTTTTTGGGGTCCCTTTCAATAAATGGTAAAAGATCTTCATCAACATGTGAGTGTCTGGGTTTGTTTTATATTTTTTGCAGGTTAGGAAGCGTCATTTTTTGGTTGCCTATTATGGTGGCACATCAGAGGGGGCACCTGACGTCAAAATATGGTTGCAAACGTTCAAGGTAACCAATCACTAACCAGTCCTTCAATTTGTCGGAAATTGAGAATCCTTCATTTTGGTGCCATATTTGAAACCTAAATCTAATAAATTTTTCAAAAAGGGTGCTTACTGTTTTATTGTTGGACCTTCCTAAGAAAGGGATGTTACCTGGTAGCTTTTAAGTTTTCACTGGTAACTCAACTTTGTGAGATCAAATTTGGTGGGCAGAATGGCAGATGGAAACCACCAATAATTGCTGATGAAGAACCAAATGTTCCAATGTGGAACCCTGTACTGTTTAAACTTCCATCAAATGCGTTGCTGCTGTTCTACAGAATAGGCTTAGATGTTCAAAAGTAAAGTTTCTGACTTACTATCCTCTTAGATTTATTGTCCTCTTGTGCTAACGCTTATTGTCCTCATTTCTCTTTAATATGATATCGTGGTAGCAAGCATCCTTTGGATTAACATTATATCCGTTACACCCTTGTAAAATCCTGGTAATCTGCCAACTAGCCGTATATATATTTTCTTTAAAAGAAATAGCACAAGTTTCTCTATGAAATGCTTATTTTTCTTTTATATTGACCGATTTGTAAGTGAGAACAGAAGACATTTGTTATCTTACTAATTTGCAGATTTCATAAACCACAGGAATTAGCTTAGTTGGTTAGAGGAGACGGCATCTCTCTTTACTAACCTTTGTTCAACTTCTATGGGGAAACACTTTGTGACTTAAATCATAATAACTGCAACAAGACAATATGAGGTGTGGCAATATCCTTTATAAGATCTCTCAAGGGGACTTAGCCTGGGCGTAATCCGAGTACATATATAAATATACATACATAGATATAGCGAGAAAAATGATAGTCTCCCAAGTGGATTAATCAGAACGATTTTGTATTAGTGTAATGCTTCCTTGGGATTGAAATGTTTCCAAAAGGGCTTTTGCGTTGAATTAAGCTTTCATCTTGAATCTTCATGCTTCAATGCATGAGAATGCGCTTAATATAGTAAATTATTAGTTTTCCCTTCTAATGGGCAGAATTGCCTTATTTAATTTCAGATGGAGTGGATTCATGAAACGTTCTTATGATAAAGGCGTCACATGGACAGAAAGAGAACAACTTCCTCCTGGTATTTTAGGACCTATAAAGAATAAGGTAATAAAACAAGCACCAATGAACTTTATTTTATCTATAGCTTGAGGTTTGAAATTCATGGTTTGACAAATTTACCTTTAGCAAGTTCTGAATTCTGATCACTATATTCCCAGCCTCTCTTACTGGAAAATGGTCTCTTGATTTGTGGGTCATCTGTTGAAAGCTGGAACTCCTGGGGTGCATGGGCTGAGGTGTTTACTGTTAAACAGAGCTGATCTTAATTGGCAAGTAGATTCAAAACTGATTTGCATTGTTAGAAACTTGACATTTTTTAAGCTTCTTGCATGGGATATAGGTAACAACAGATTTTGGCAGGACATGGAGTAAATATGGCCCAATTTACATTGAAAGTGAACCTCTAGGGGTGATTCAACCAGTGCCTTACCAGACTGCTAGAGGAACCTTGTGAGTCCTGCTTCGATCCTTTACTGGCATTGGTAGAGTCTATATGTCAGAATCCTTTGATGGTGGCAAGACTTGGGGATATGCAAAACCTACTCAGCTCCTGAACCCAAATTCAGGTTAATTTCCCAAAAGACATTAGTTGTCTAACTTATTTGCTTTATAATATTTTTGATATATATTAATAAAATCACTCTTAGACTTGTGAAGAAGTCCTTGACATTGTCAAGACTGTATTTGACTGAATTTCAGAACAAAGCTGATTGCGACTTTGCTCTAACCATCACTTTTTGTCCTAGCAACTACTCTTTCTAATATCCAATAATGAATCGCTTGTCAAAGATCAATTTTCATAAGCTTGAGCTATTAAATGAAGTTTGGACAATGGTTGAACTCTTGACTACTTAATATGTGTTGTTTGATAATGCGTTCGGAAAGACGTGATTTTCCTTGTTTCCAATGCCTTAACAAACAAGTGCTAACTGCTAAGCCCTCATAAAAACTGATATCATTTCGGTGAATTTTTAGATCTAAAGAAAAAAAAAAAAAGCAAAACAAAACTGTTCAATGCATATTCATGAACAGTTTCATTATAATCTCTAGCATTATGCATCTCATGAGTCTCTTTCACTAGGTATTGATGGGGTAAAGCTGAGGGACGGCCGTCTATTGCTTGCGTATAACACCATTTCTAGGGGTGTTCTTAAGGTTGCTTTGTCTGAGGATGATGGAGATTCTTGGGATGAGGCTCTTACACTGGAGGATACCTTGGGAATGGAATTCTCATATCCTGCTGTTATCCAATCTACTGATGGACATGTACATATCACCTATACATATAACAGGACACAAATTAAGGTACATCAATCTTAATCTTTGATGTGGTTGGTCTACTTCGTTCCATTTCCTTCATGCATTCCTTGTATTCGCTAACGCTTCTTGTCCTTGCTTTCATTTGCACAGCATGTTGTTCTTAGGCTGAACTGATGCAGACCAACCTGTTTCACATAAGCAGGAGACAAGGAATCCTCCATGTCTGTGATTAAAATGGCTTTTCGGATCAGCACTCAGCAGTTAGAGATAAAATAAAGGACTGTGGCTCCCAATTGAATCCTCTTTGTTTTGTTTGTTTGTTTTTTTAATTTGACAAGTTTTTTTCTGGGTAACTTTTGGTTTCACATTAGAATTTAAGTCCAATTCTTTAATTTTGAGAATTGATTTAAGCATCATTGGCCAAAGGCCTAGTGGCACCAAGGTGCCTGTGAATGGGTAAGATTGCTAGTTCGAACCCGATGGAATTCACGTAATAGGCAGTGTGTGTGTGGGCTTTTCTATGGGAAAGTGTGGGGTGTGTGAGTAATTCAAAAAAAGAAAAGGAAAAAAAAAAGTATCACTAAAAGTTCATTGATTAATTAATTTAGAAGTGCCTTCTCACGGTACATTATTGAGTATGTATACTTCTGATCTTGTGGTCATACCTTCCTCAGATGCACTTTGCATTATATTTGCAAGGGGATATAACCACTTGATATAATGACAGCATAAGCCCCAATACTAGTGCTTGTTGTGTGTGTGTGTTTAGCAACCCTTGCCTTTGCTCTTGACTATAACACAGGAGCTGGAGGGATGATATTCCCATATTTCATATAAAGTTAGAAAGGAATGATATTCCTATATTGCATTTGTTTACGTCACTATCTTGCCTTATATCATAAAAGTTTTTACAATCAAAATCAAAAATCTATATAAAAAGTTATTTACAATGCTTATGATTTTGTATGCAAGAGACTATAATCATTTTATACGTATAAAAGGTGTACCATAATAGTGAATTTATTTTTTATTGATGTAGCTATTAGTTACTCCCTTCAATCTAGGTTACCAATACCTATTTCACAAATATCAAGAAAGTTAGTTAAGTGTAGTATAACTAATTAAATTTGTATTGTATTTTTGCCCCTAATTGAACGGTTGTTCTCTGTCCATGGTGAATCGAATTATTCTTAATGTCATCTTTAATTTCTCTTTCATAATTTTTTGAATT